TCTATTTTTAGACACATCTCGCGATCGACTGGTTGGGCACCCCTGGGCTAGACCATAGGTATGTTGTGGTAGCAAAGTAGTCAGCTGAAGCCACATCTCTCTCAACTTCCCCACGGCATTTGTCATATAGCGCAGGCAGCGCAGACCTGCTGAAATAATACCGAGACGGCATCGCGTAACGCTTGTCCAACGTGTTGACAAGTTGCTTAAAGCCCTGGTTGCTAACAGTGCACATATCTTTAGCGATGTGCAGGGGCGGATCTAGACAAATATTCATGGGGTGGCAAGAGGGTGGCAGGAGATTTTGAGGGGTGGCATCCCCTGACAGAAGTAGGCTATATGCTGATTTAAATCACAATCATATCAATCAATTAGGGGTGTAACGGTACACGTACCCGTACTGAAATTATTCGGTACGGGCCCTTCGGTTCGGTACACGTGTGTACCGAACGAATATAACGTTAAAAGTAAAAAATTGAGAACATGAACCACTTTCTGGAAGTAATCTCAGGTATATATCATAGAGCGACCAAGTCATTTCATTGGACGAGAGGCATACTATGAGAGCTGGTCAGAGGGATGCGTTCAAATGTAGTCAGTAATTTGAGGAACTGGCGAAATGGCGAACGCAGATAAAGTTGAGCTGAAAATCCTCCAGCATCATTGAAGTCTCCGGTTTGGGAACATTTTGTTTTCGCAGTTACGTACAAGGATGACGGACAAAGACAGGTGGACCGAACCAAAGCTGTTTGTCGGTATTGTTCAACTAACATTGGTTACGCGGCTGTTAATACATCAAACTTGCACACTCATTTGAAAAGGCATCACCCGAATGTGAATATCACCGGTACCAAAAGAAAAAAGACTGAAGTGCAAACCCAACTCCCGCTAGCATTTAAGCCTCCACCACTCTAACAAGTTCAGACCGAGCCAAAGCTATTACAAACGCCAAATATCCTTATGTTGCCATGTTAGCAAAGCGCTACCTGGCTGTATCTGCTACCTCTGTCCCTAGAGAGAGGGTGTTCTCCACAGCAGGAGAGATTGTTAGTGCCAGCAGATCTGCCCTTTCAGCAAGCAATGTGGAGAAGTTCATCTTTCTTTAAACAACATGAAAATACAATGACAAGCAAGTCCTAATGTCAAGCTGGCTGCTCAGGTACTAGTACAGTTCAAATACAGATTATTTCAGCTCATCGAAATGCTGCACCTTAATGTTTATTTTACTATATTTTGTATTTATTTGAATACATTAGTCACAGTTTAATAATAATTAAAAATATATATTTAATGTTTTGTGATAATGTTTTCTGCTGTACCGAAAACGTACAGAACCGTGACCTAAAAACCGAGGTACGTACCGAACCGAAATGTTTGTGAATCGTTACACCCCTACAATCAATGTTAACTTGGAAAGCCACAATATTAATATTTTAACTCAATCACATAGGTGATATTATTGTGGCACATCAGTAAAGCCTTACATATAAGGTGGCAGATGTAATTTAATGAATTTTAACTGAACAATAACTGAATGAGTTTGTCTCACTCTTAGACCAGCAGGGGTACCAAATCTATGCAGACTGCTGCAATAAGTACATTAATTAACTGTCTCATCGATGTTTGTCTGAATGAATATGATACTATTAACAATCATATTATTCCTATCAGCTGTCAATCACTGTTAATAAATAATAATAATAGATTTAATTTGTTAGCGTTTTTACAGGTGCTCAAAGACGCTTTACAGATATAGTGAAGAACTGTTATGATTCACATATTCATTTATTATTGAATAAACTATAGTTTTTGGAGGAGTTAATGATGAATCAAGATGCTTGCTCACCCTCCTTCAAATTTGAAAAACAAGTAATTATATCATTATTGATATACAGTTACAACCTTGACTTTACATCAGAAAGAACAAACATTAAAGAAGTGACTAACTGCATCAGTTAGGGTTAAAAAACGTGTATTCAGCTAAAACATCGCTGCAGTTATTATCCAGTGGAAGGTCCTTACCTACTGGCCTAGTTAAATCAAATGGTTACTTTCTGTTGGCTGGGCAGTGTAGTTTTACACACCGTCTTATTTTACTTTCTCAGGACTTAAAACTGTTTTTTGGGGGCAGACCCCCTCAAAGAAAAAAATATATACACGCATACAATGTCATCATCTTAACAGTTTGTTATTCTCATCGAGTCATCCGTGAGCAGAGCATCAAGTTGGCATGTCTATTACAGCTGAATGCGGCGATTACTATTTTGTTCAGTAAAACGCCTCACAAACTTATTAAGATCAACAGCTGTAGTGCGTTTTGATTCAATGCTGAGTACAGCCAAACTGACAGTCTCTTCTCTGTCAGTGTAGACCGCAAATACCTCATTCCTTCAGTGCTTGGGTCCGAAAGGCTTCTCGTTTTGCGCCGTCCCCCCGTTCAAGTGAATTCGCCACCAATCATATTTCCACTCTTGCGCCAGGACCGGGGGAGGGGTTACATGACGTGCATATTGTGCTGCATTCACTTGCACTCGGACATTAGAGACTTTCTCTCATACTTGTCCGATGAGCCACAACTTTTCTTTCCAAACAAAGATGCCAACTGGGGTGGCAGCTGGGGTGGCAAGGCTATTGTTTAGGGTGGCAGTTGCCACCCCATGCCACCCCGGTAGATCCGCCCCTGGCGATGTGAAATGTAATGGCAAAGTACTTGCAAATAGTGGAAATAGTTTTACCCTTCTTTTTAACGAGTTGCTGCTCTTGTTCTGACATCTTCGCTCGCGCTGAACACATGTCACTCCCACGTGGCCGAGTGGGCTTTTAGGGTGGGGCGAAAGCGCACCCAGCAAAATAATCGTATTTTGTCAATTATGCTGTTTTCATAATCGTCGCAAACCATAATCGCGATTAAAATACGATTAATTGCACAGCCCTACTCTCTCGTGGTTTCCCTTTTCCAAATGAGTAGGCCTAGATGAGGCAAACCATAGACAATCAACCATTTTTTTATTTCAGATATATTCATGCCATTAAACTATAAAAGATAGTCTGAGAGCGGATCTCCGCCAAGGCAAAATGCCTTGTCTCACAATGTTAACAACATTGAAAAATAATCCCTTTCTCTTCACATTGATTGTTGACATGTAATGGATTCTTCCTTCAACAAAGGCCATACAACCGTATCTATATTTGTTTTTGTTTTGTAATCCTGGTAGAGATTAATAAACCAAAATTCTAGCAAATAATTGATATTGCCAGGTTCATGCATGAATTATGAAAGCCTCAGACAGGATTTTTTTACCAAGTGTTATTATTGCTCTTGGTGCATGAAAAACAAGATTTGAACTTTTTTTTTTTAATCTAGTTTTTTCAAAAAGATTTTTATATGTCCACTCAGGTGGACAGTATGCGTTCAGGGTTTGAACTGAAGAGATGTACATTTTGAAAAAATGATAAATAAAGATGTGCAAACTTAAAATTACATTATGATAACTATAATAAGTATATTGATTTACGGCCCAAAAATATATTGCAGATGAAGTATTTTCAAGAATAACCAGGGCCAGGGGCCAATTTGAGGCCCCACGCACAGTTATTTGATGAGTGCTAGTGGAGCCTCGCAGCTGCGAAACCGTGCCGCGCCACCCTAATTGCGCCACATAAGCGCATAGGTGCGCCTCAGATGAGGCCCCCCTCCGCAAGGTGTGGCCCCCTCCACAAGGTGTGGCCCCACACAGTCTGCATGATCTGCCTGTAGGGAGGGACGGCCCTGGGAACAACAGCAGCAGTACCAGTATGAATTGTAGTTGAAATATAGCCAGTGATGCATGATGTCCACTGTAGTGGACAGGTGCATAATCATGATTTCCTGCAAACATAACATCAATACTTTGATAATTTATGAATTATATGATTCCTTAGTTGTTACTTGATGTCACTACCTTTTTTATACCTGCAGGGGACGCTTTCCATGAAAGGATTGGCAAGATATAGGCTGCTTCTCAGGTCGATTAAATGAAATCCTTGCGTCCCTCACTTGCGTCGTTTCCCTGCGTTTAGTCCCTCCCACCAGGGAAGCATGGAGGGACGCAAGGAAACCACGAGAAGCAGGGAAATGAGTTTTAAGAGCAATGGGACGAACTTTCCTCCAGAGCGTCACGTGAAGCGACGTCCGTTTGTGATGACGCTGCACAGCTGATCGTCTGACAGCAGCTCTGTCCCCGTTATTTCCACACACACCCCCGCCTCTGTTAGTACACATTTACTGACACAAACATTTGTATCATCTGTTGCAGACCCCAATAAATACAATAAAATAAGAACTCATTCTCAAAAAAAGATAAACGCCATTCTTAAAATGTATAAACGAACAATAGTTTGATTAATATTGATTAGAGTGCACAATAGAAATAAAATAATTGAGAGAAGAAAAAGAGATATGTTATCTATCAAAACCCAGTTAGATTAACATTCATTGGATTGCACACGTTGTTTGTTTGTTTGGATATGTAGCATATTAACATTTTAAAAGCACTTAATGACTGACTGAATGGAAATGACAATAAATGAAAATGTAAAACGAAAAAAGCGATCATGAAAATGTTTCCAAAAAATGAATTAAACGATTTTTGACCACTTTGTTGTTCAGATATATCACATATTTGTAACTAAATGATACATTAATTGAAACAAAACACGGTATAAACTGAGGAGTGACTCCCGTGAGGTTCATGTATTTTCTTCACTCTGCTCTCATGTCAAGAAGCATCAGATCAGTGCATGCACTGCCTCGTCCAATCAGTGAGCGATACACAGTAAGGGGGCGGGGTGAGTATCTGAGGATTTAATCGGAGGATGGTCTGGTGGTTCCTCGGTTATCGCTCCTCCATGATCGCTCCTCGCTCCTCGATCCTCGGTCCTCCGGCAGAAATAAGAGCCATGGGACGGTACTCAAGATGTTGCAGGCAAATCAACTTCCGGTGAGACCGAGGACCGAGGAGCGAGGAAATGAAAATAGTCGACCTGAGAAGCAGCCATAGATGGGTGACTTGGTCCATGTGGCTTTCTGTCGTCCATCTTGGTTTAGAGACATGTATCATGCACTTACACTGACTTGGCACTGAGTGGCAGTGTATGAGATGATGCAATAGGGTCCTATGTAGTGGCTGATGGTGCAACTATGCAAACAAAAACAATGCATAAGAAAACACCTTTTGAATAGCTGTCCACTGTAGTGACCTCTATGCATGAAAGGGTTTTAAATTACATCATGTACCCTCGTAATTTATGGAAGATTTTAGATTGATGTTATTAAATACAGTCATTGAATATCAATACCACTCTTATATCACTATGTTAAATACTGTATGAAGCAGCCAGTTAGCTTAGCAACAATTATGGAAACAGAGGGAAACAGCAAGCTGGCTCTGACCAAAAGGTAACAGAAACCATTAATCAACTCTAAAGCTCATCGATTCAAATGTTTCATCATGTTGTGTAAACATAACAATTGGCCATTTTATGGGGGTAGCCAACAGGTGCAGATTCATGGAAGTTACTGCTCATAGTCAAGAAAGTGTCTGGACAGCGCGCTATCATTTACAGTTGTTGTGCTAAGTTTAGCTAGTTGTAGAGCCAAGAGTGTTATCAAACTATAATCTAACTCTTGTTTTTGCTCCCCAAAATATCAAACTATTGCTTTGAGACCAGTTTATTCCTTAAAGAAATCCTGCTAACAAATATGTGACACTAGCTGTCTAATCTGAAAACATAATGCTTGTAGCACCTAGCTAGCCAAACGCTTTTATGTGCAAATTAATACTATCGGAACATTCGATGTAGCTATGCTGTTAGTTACTTTAGGAAAAAGTGAAGAAGCTGAAATAAAAAAACACAGAAAGCTGTGAAATATAATGCTCAATATCTTCCTCCATAAATCACTGAGTGTATCTATTGCTTTTTCATTTTAAGGTCAATTAATCTCTCTACACTCTTCTTCTTCCTCTTCCAGGTCACTCTCAGGAGCGTGACAGGCACTTGGCTGCCTTTGCTGTTATTTTACCCCTGAGCCAGGGGTCATTGCGGTAAGTGCATTCAAGTTTTATTTTAACGCCACATAAAATGACTCTTGCCGTAGTAATGTTTTTGTTTGGAAAAAACAGTCAGGTATGCTTGTCTCTCGTCTCAAACCCTATGTTATTTGACCATTTAATTTGAGGGATTTCGCTGTTGATTTGATCCACTGATTATTTTTCTCAAAGTGTAGGGTCTTGCAGGCTCCTGATCTACATTTGGCCTTTACCTGTTTGGAGGGGTGATTGAGGTGAGGGAACTATTTGAATACCTCTCAGATCCCTTTGTTTATTTGTATAATATATTTGTTCCCTGGAGGCACTTAATCTTACGTTACAAAGGTTTGGTTTAATTATACCACCTCAAGTTATTTTAGGTACAAGAAATGTAAGTGTACGATCTGTGTTGTAAATTATTGTGAAAGCCCACTGTCATTGAAATAAATCAAAAGTAAGTTGTGAAAAATGTTCTACCCAAACGTTTATTTTATGGTATAAAAACCTTACATTCCTGTCAATAATGTGGCTATTTATTATCATGTTGAATTGAGAGTGGGCCTATCCATGTTTTCAGGTGTCCATCATGTCGGTTATGAAGAAGGAGATGGATAAGTACAGGGACATAGACGAGGACGAGCTGCTGAAGAAACTGTCAGAGGAAGAGCTGCAGCGATTAGAGGATGAATTAGAGGAGCTGGATCCTGATGTAAGTATGAAGTCCATAAAGAGTTTCTGTCGCTGTGTTGGTGTCAGTGGAGTGTGAGGTGGTCTTACAGGCTAAACAGAGGCCCCTGACTATGCTGTATATTGCTATAACTAAATAGCTGTGTGATATAATCTGAAATACTGTTAGATCATTTTTTTTGTAAGCCAGTCAAACAAGTGCAAACGATTAATGCTCGTGAAACTATGAGTAATCTTGAATCCGTTACACAGTAATAGTACAGTGGCAGCTAATGCACTTTGTATGTAGTGTACGGAAGACCAGCCAATCAAAAACCTATTTACTAGCACTCAGTTGGCTTGGCAGTAAGTGTAACTGCACAATGAGGCAGCATGGAGTTAATATTACAAGCAAGAAAAAAAGCCAGACATTGATGGTTTTAACTTCTCAGATATGAGGCTCCATCCTTGTACATTGAGGACGTTTAGTTTTGGACTGTTAATCAGTCATAACAAACAATAGAAGATGACGATGTCCCCTTTTGTTGTCAAGAATAGTCATTCACTTTTTGTTGGTGCTATTTACCTTAAAGAAATATCAATAATAATTTGTACTTATGGGGAAACGTATGTGTCTGATTCTGTTATGATGCTTGCTTTGCTCAAGATTATGGTAATAATTGTTGTATTTGATAAATCAACCTCCAGGTTTGTACCCTCAGTGGTGTTTCATGGGTGGAGATGGTGACAGCAGCTGTAATAGCTTTGTGATGAATCTCCAACTGCTCATAAAGAGGCTGGATATCCCCTCAATGCCAGGGAATGACTGGAAGGGTTGTGTGTGTGTGTGTGTGTGTGTGTGTGTGTGTGTGTGTGTGTGTGTGTGTGTGTGTGTGTGTGTGTGTGTGTGTGTGTGTGTGTGTGTGTGTGTGTGTGTGTGTGGTGTGTGTGTGTGTGTGTGTGTGTGTGTGTGTGTGTGTGTGTGTGTGTGTGTGTGTGTGTGTGTGTGTGTGTGTGTGTGTGTGTGTGTGTGTGTGTGTGTGTGTGTGTGTGTGTGTGTGTGTGTGTGTGTGTGTGTGTGTGTGTGTGTGTGTGTGTGTGTGTGTGTGGTGTGTGTGTGTGTGTGTGTGTGTGTGTGTGTGTGTGTGTGTGTGTGTGTGTGTGTGTGTGTGTGTGTGTGTGTGTGTGTGTGTGTGTGTGTGTGTGTGTGTGTGTGTGCGTGCGTGTGTGTGTGGGAGCGAGACTGATGCCAGCAGGGAGTGACCGAAGTTCCTTCATGACGTAAACAGAGGAAATAGTCAGAAGCAGTGCGTGCTTACCTTGTTTGTGCCTGTTTATGAGGGTAACCCGTTGCACAACAGTGCCCACTCTAACCTTCCCAGTACTTCCCACGTCAGTTCCAGTAAGACATTAAAAAAACAGCATGCTTGCAAACTGTACTACGGTAGTGAGATTCATTTATTGTCGATGATCTTGAGAATACTTTGTGTTTTTGTGCATACTGTACAGTATTGTCTTTCAATGACCCATTACAACGTGGAATGGGTTATACAGTACTGTTTACTTTTCTAAGACATGACATACAGTACTGTCACTTTATAGCTAAAGACTTGTTGTGACATCTTTGAATTAAAGCTCTTACATTTAAATCTGGGAAAGTTTAAATAAAATGTATCTAGATTACTGGTAAAAGTTTGGAGACAGGTAAAAAAAAGGACACAGGGTAGTAAAGTAAGAAGTGACAGGAGAGAAAGACAAAGTCTCATGCTGGTAAAAATAAAATGCTCTAAGTGTGCCTGTTATCTACAGCTGATACAACGTGTGACATTAAGAGCTTGGCAGTGACGATGTGATATACTCCTGGCTTTACTATAAATACTGCTTTAAGTCATGTGAACATTTACCGACCACTACTGGAAAGACCACATTTGAAAACCCAAGTTATCATGTCACCGGTCTGTAAAAATGTTTGCTGGCCTTGAGTCAAAGCGTGTAAGAGAGACAGAGTCATGAGGAGAGAGCGCTGAGAGGAAAGATAAGATATGAAGCTATAAGTAGCACTTGTAAGAGCTTGGTTTGAATGCTGCTATGGGTTGAGCATAACGTAGGGAGCAGCAATTCTCTGGGAAATCTCTGGGTCCTGTTTTAGGCTGGAGTTAGGGACTGATGTGGGAGTTAAATTAAACAGAGCTCAGTCGATATCACTTTGCTCTAATACTGTAATACTTGTGGAACATGTTTTCAAATGTGATGCAAAAATTACCATATTATCATTGGGCTTAATTTGGTAGTATTTTTAATGAATATTCTATGAGTATTCTGCCACTGAGATTTGTTTGCTTTTTTAAAATGTAAACAAATACATTACATTACTAATGTTATTTGCATTTCATGGTTTATTTATTTTATTTAGGGGGTTAAAGGTATTGTGTACTCTTATTTCCAAAGGCAAAATCTAGAAGAATTAACAGTTTTTCATTTAAAAAAAGACTGAAGTTGAATATTAACTACATCTTAATCACCACATGTATAAAGTATTTGTTCTTCGTCTCTAAATGTCTTGTTGTTTCTCCTTCTTCGGCACTGATGCAAGATACTACAGCACTTAAACGCTATGATAGGAAGAAAGAAATTAGATACAATCAGTATCAGTTCTTTAACTGATGCAAACTCTTGTTTGTCTAGAATGCGTTGTTGCCTGCTGGGATGCGGCAGAAGGACCAGACCAAGAAAAATCCGACTGGGACATTTCAGAGAGATAACCTGCTGGCCCATCTGGAGAAACAGGCCAAAGAGCATCCTGAGCAAGAAGACCTGGTGCCTTTCACAGGGGAGAAGAGAGGTACAATCTGGGTTTCTCCTCATTTTGGGATGTGACGGAGCCGCTTTGGGGCACCTGGCCATAGTAGTCAAAAAAGAGTAAACAGCTTTGGCCATTTCATACGTTGAAATGTTTAAAGAGGCCCTATTATGCTTTTTTGGGTTTTCCCTTTTCCTGTGGTGTGTTATATGTTTTTGGCTGCCCGATTGGACTCCTGTTTTTACTTCCTTAACATAGTGACTTGTCTATTGGCTAGCGCTTTAACACATTTACGTGATAGGGGGCGGGACATATCAAGGCAGTTGACCAATCACAACAGCCGGCCAGCTAACCAATCAGAGCACACTGGGCTCTGGTTTCAGACAGAGGGTGAAAAGAGCAGTATATGCAAAATAAAGCACTTTTTGTTAACATTAAAGCATGTCATAGTACAGGCACAAAATACAATGATGAAACCTGAAAATGAGCATAATGCGGCCCCTTTAATCTACTTGGGTCTTTGGACCGCAGACAAACTTTAAGTTCCTTAAAAAGTTCTGGCTCTACTTATCAGGTGGTTCTGTCTGGGTGTTGCTTTAATGCACTTGTATTCTTAAAAGACTTGTAAGACAATAACGTTTTTCACAGACCAGCTGTACTGAATCAGTAAAGATATCCCTTCCCTCAAGAACTGAAGTCAAGGCAGGGGCGGACTGGCCATCGGGATGTTCGAATCCCGATGGGCCGGTACTGAAGTGGGCCGGTCGGACGATGTGGGCCGGCCGGTAACCGGCAGGGCTCGACATTATAAATGGCCCGCTGGCCCGGAAGCACTATTTAGACACCCCGGGCCAGCATAACGTAGGCTACATTCCACTTGCCCGCTCGGGCCACTAAAGATATTGCTTTAAAAAAATTGTCCTGTGGTATTGGTATTTTGACTAGCAATATAGTTAAATTGTTTCGTTTATCAACGCTACAACATAGCGTTCCATGAGTCGGTTGTCGTTGTTGGGTGAAAAGCAAACAGCTGTTTGCTGCGAAGCGCAGCGCAAGCAGGCTCCCGTGAGCGGGAGCGCGCTCCTTCACTACAGACTATCGTGCCACCTAACCATTCGCCAAAAATGTTTTTAATACCAGCGGTAGCCGGGCAAAAAACAATCTTCAAATAAAAGAAAGTCACCGGAGGAGTTAAAGGAGAGTGACAGGGAGCATGAGAAGAAGAGGGAGAGAAAGTTTCCGCCAGCTTGATCGATGGAGTTGGCTTCTAGTGGTGCAGTGACGCATCCTAAAACCCTTTTATATTCTATCGATTAGATTTATGATTCGAAAATTATAAAAGTAGGGTAGACATGTGGAGATTATCCAGCTGAACAAAACGTGCATTTATCAAACAGGTTTGCTTTCCACAGACCTTATTTCCAGCTATTTTCCAAAACCCTGTGGAGAAATCCCATTGCTTTTTGTCGAGGGAACCAGCAGCTTACTTCCTGGTTTTAGGATGCGTCACTGGCTGCACCTCTCAATATGATGCCAATATAAACAAGGTCTTCTGTCTGCTCTGTACATCAATGCCGACCTATGCTGACAAGTAAGTGAAGAGTAGACAATATAAAGGTATTGGCGAAATGTCCCAGCAGTTTAGGATAATGAAGGTTCTAATCAAATCAATTACATAGCCATTACATATCTAACTCCTAATGACAGGAAGGCAGAAAGCACATTATACAAATAATAATACTCATAATAATAGCAGATTTTTTTTAACAATGACCACAATATCATTATACTAATAAACCAAATATGAACAATTGAGGAAAATGAGGAAGAACTGATGATTAAAATGTTGTAGTACAAGTAGTAATGTAGTTAGTGCATAAATTAGGCTACTATTGCAACAAATGTGTTAATTTTACCCTTAATGTCTACCCCTGCGGTAAGTCACTATAACACCTCCCCCCCCCCGTCGACAATTTACTAGCGGTATTTACTTGCGGTACCGCGGTGGGCCGGCGGTACCGAAGTGGGCCGGTCGAGAGTCCCGGGCTGATTTGTAGTCCCAGTCCGCCCCTGATTCAAGGTCTTCATGTGGAACACCCAGTGAGCAAACAAGCAGAGGGAGACCACAGCAGGTTCTGCAAACTGTTTAGAACAGTTTTCCATTTGAACCTCTCGTCTTTTGCTCACCATCTGCTGAGACCAGGCCCACTACAGGTTGGACTTGAAACTGGTTTTACCTGTCACACACTTTAAACAGTGTGTTCACCAACCTGGAAGGGTGCAGTGGTATTATTAGGATCCAGGGAGGACTTGGGGGATTTTCAGTTAGGCTGCTAAGCGCTCTGGTTAACATCTCGCCAAAGTGCTCATGTGGGGGTCAAAAAATATCTGGCTGAAACTCGAGGAGCTGACCACACAGCTGACCTGTCAGCAACAGCAGCCTGTGGTCAGGGGTGATGTGATGGAGGGATACTCATTAAAGTAAGGGTTAGATTCATATTAAATCAGTATGTTCCCCGAAGACTATATCTAGTTTTTTTCTTTGGTTTGATTTGGTCTTCAGTCTTTGAATGTGGTAGCTAGATCATATGAGATATATCATATCATATGGGGTAAATGTAGTAGTAGTAGTGCTTCTATTCGGATTAAAACCATCCATCATGTTGCAGGGAAAGCCTTTGTGCCGAAGAAGATGGTGGACCCCATCATGGAGAATGTGACTCTGGAGCCGGAGCTGGAAGAAGCCCTGGCGAGTGCTTCTGATGCTGAACTCTGTGATATCGCAGGTATCCTAAACACATCCACTCACATCTCATCACAGCAACATGTATTAAATATCCATAGTTCTTATCGTTTGAACTTTTCTCTCATTTATACTCGCTTATACACAATGGTTTTTGTGTTTCTTCTGTATAAAGCTGTTCTTTATCTTCTTTTTGGCAAGACTTTTAGCACAATTACCAGAGTCCCCATGGTGAAGGCAGTTTAAAACATGCTTACAAAAGTGAATGGAAACATTGGGAGAATATATTTTCATAATTTGCAGTTCTTCATCGAAATTTCACGGGTTTATAATAGTGAACAAATACAGATAAACCTTTCCTTTAAAAACTAATAACTAACATAAAATCTAAAATCCACACCCACATTTATACAAACATAATCTGAATAGGCGCTTTCACACCGGAGTACTTTTCCCCATACTTTTCCCTTTTAGTTCCGATAGTTCCTGGGATTTTACGTTCACACCATAGAATGCATATATGGTTCACACCAAAAAGATCTGGAACTAGGACTTAGTTCATGAGAACTTGTCTCCCCTTTTTAGTCCCTGCTAGAGAGCAGGTACTTTCCTGGGAGAAAAAGGTTCCCATTTCTGATTGGCTGGGCGAATTGCAAACCACGCCCCGTAAAACTCAGAAAAGTTTTTGTGAAGCCGCCATTTTATTTGCTGGCATTAGCATTATTAGCATTAGCCCAGCGCACCAACGGAGAGAGACTAACTTATGGCAACACAAAAAAAAACATGGGAGCGGTGGAGTGATGAGCAGGTGTCGGCGTTCTGGCGATTTACTCTCCAGAGTCCCAGCAGCTTCTACTGAAGCCAGTCCCCAACTCCAGGGACAATTGGTCCGTGCGCAAAGCATTGTGGGGATTTTAAGGACGCGAAGTCTACCCATGTGCAGCCTCGAAATGGTGGTCTCAGTGGTCTTCACAGTTTATAAGCTTCTTAGTTTTTGCAACAGTCTGTAAATATACACAATTTTATAATAAAATGCACACATTTACCTTTTTCTAGACTAAACACAGGTATGATCCTAAGTAAAAACAAAGTGAGGTTATCATGAGGTTGTTAACATCGCAATTTATCAGCGGATGTTTGCTGGAACTACTTGTAAACAGCTTATTTCCTGACGGACACACACAGCATTGAGTCCGGTCAGGTAGAGACCGGTCTCCAGTCAGCACCGATGCAGACTCGCTGTTTGAGGGCTTGATAACCCACTCCCCCTCCACACCGCTCCACACTCGTTGGTTTGGAACAGCACTTAATGTGGCAGACCCTCCGCACAATCGCGCAAACGGAGGGGTAGTGTGTAGGGGTAGGGTGTAGGGGGCGGTTTGGGATTGGGCCTCCCTCAGGGACTTTTTCTGGTGTGAACGCGATGTGCTCTTTAGTTCCGGGAACTAAAGAGTTCCAATGAACTAAGTACGGCAAGTACTTGGTGTGAAAGCGCCTATTGATTGTTATTCATAGAACTGATCTGTTTAATGTGCTAAAGTGCAGGTGTCTGATTATTTTTCATCTTCCCTCACTTAACGGTGGCCTCAACTTCCCCCTCATTCATTTACTTTTCCTGAACCAAATCTTCTTCATTTCCTCCAGCGCTCCTTTCATCTTCCCTTCACCCCTCCCCCTCATCCCTCCACCTCCTCCTCCATCCCTGCTGGATATCTCTGTTTCACCACCCAGGGTATCTGTAGACTGCACACCATGTTTGCATGGAGCGATTCTGCACCCTTTGCCATGTCGATGCTGCATGTACAAAAATGAAGATGTTTGAAAAACGTCATGTCTCTGCAGTAAAGCATATAGAAGTCAAGTTTACCATTGGATTTTAAGAACTCTCTCTCTAAAACACTATATTTTAAGTATTGACAAATAGTTTATTTCAGTAAATCACAATATGCTTTGATATTTAAGTAGCAGTAGAAGGCAATCATATTGAGGTTGAAAGATAATACATCTGTCTGTGAGAGGAATACATGATAATATGTTCACCCATTTTTCAGTCTCTACTTCCTGCATGACAGAATTGTATCATCAAAAATGCTGCAGGAATATTTTGGGAGCACAACGAGTCCCTGGACTTGCTGAAGGTAACATAACGTTGGGTTACGTATTGTAACCCTTGTTATATTAGCACAGGCGGAGCCCTCTACTGGACTCTAGAGGTACTACCTTACCCTGCGAGCATTCTCCCACTGAGACTTCTATAGACGTAGCCGGCCTTGGGTGGGCCTACCTGAATGCGCGTGCATCACACCGTATAAAAGGAGGCCTCGCCTCCTGACTATCATCCTACACCTCTCTTCAGCGAGCGGAATAGCACAGACAGTGCCCTGAGTAGAGGGCTCCGCCTGTGCTAATATAACAAGGGTTACAATACGTAACCCAATCTCTCACAGGCTCCGCCCTCTACTGGACTCTATGGGTACAATGGGTGGAGCCCCGATGCATACGCGCACTGTCGTCCAACAACAACATTCCACCCTACTGCCCCTGACCGGCTTTTCTGGTCAGCAGCTGCTGCCCCACATTCTCCTTTAACCCGGTTGTAACCGAGGAGACATCTGGGCTGTGGCTGACAGAGCACACCCTGCTGCGCTTACCTCGCAGAAAGTGTGCTCAAAAAACAGTGCCGGGGGACCCCCCCCCGCCCATAGACGGATGGGGAGAGCCTCCTCGGCCCCTTACTACACGCCTGCCTCCCTGAATCCCTAAGGATCACAGGGAAAGCGCCAGAGCCCATGCCCCACACTCAAACACTGACCCCATGCAGAGTGTGTGGACTAAAGTGTGGAGGGCTACCCCCCTCCTGGAGAGGAGAGCAGCCCTCCTCCTGTAGGAGAGCAGCCCTCCAGCCCTGTAAGGGCCCAGCGCGCCCCTTGCCCATCCCGGGACCCTCAGAGGGCCCGAGAACAGCGAAGGCGCATTACGTCCGGGGAGGGGTCAGATGCCAACTGACCCACAACCACCCCCCCCCCCCCTACCAGTCCTGTGTTGCCCCCGCAAGCACAGACGAGGAGAAAGAGCCCGACATGTCCAAGAGATAAAACCTAGATAAAGAGATAAAAGACGCCGCTGTGCATATATCCTCCACACTCACACTGTTGAATAAAGCTGTTGACATAGCTACAGCCCGTGTGGAGTGCGCACGAATCCCCGTGGGGCAGGCTCTCCCTGCCTGTCCGTAGGCATGTGCAATGCTCTCCCAGAGCCAGCCTGCCAGGTGTTTCTTGGACATAGCTTTCCCGATCACTCCGCCCCCGAAGCACACGAACAGCTGTTCGGTGCGTCTAAGGGCAGCCGTGCGCTCCACATAACATGCTAGCGCACGCACCGGGCAGAGGAGGTGTAGTTTAACTTCCCTGTCCCCACCATGGGGGGGGGGAGACTAAAACCCCCTAACTGAATAGCCCTCGACCTGAACGCACTCCTTCGGCTCTTGGGCACAAAGGAGGGGTTCGGTCTGAGTGTCGCACCGCTCCGGTCACCCCGAATCAGTAAACAGCTCGGGTGCACCGACAGCGCGGTTAACTCGGACACTTTTTTTGGCTGACGTTAAGGCAAGAAGCAAAGCTGTCTTCCACGACAGTGCTTTTAGGGAGGAGAGCTCCAGAGGCTCAAATGGTTCTGAGACCAGAGCTCCGAGCACTAGGGGCAGGTACCACTGCGGGGTGGAGGCGTGCACTACTGGGCGCAGCCTCCTGACCCCCTGTAAAAACCGCTACATCAGTGGTTGACTAAAGGTTGACCTGCCGCCAAATCCCTCATGGCAGGACGAGATGGCTGCTGCATACACTTTCACTGTTGAATGCGCAAGCCCTCTGTCCACCAGTAACTGTAAGAAGGAAATAATAGAGCCTAACTCACAAGATAGGGGCTCTATTCTCCTCTCCTCACACCATCGCTGGAATCCTAGCCACCTTGGCCTGTAACAGGCTGTGGTGGATCCAGCTCTAGCTGCCTGGATAGACTGAATAACACTGTCAGACAATCCACCCTGTCTCAGCCTGTCCCTCTCAGGAGCCACTGGAGAGGTTGGCCGAGAGTGGGTAACGCCCCGATTGCACCTGCCTCTTGAGACATCGCCCCCCAGAACTGGGGAACCGCCCAGGGCTGGCCCACCTTCATCTGTGTCATCTCTGAGTACCACGGTGCCCCAACGCGGTCCGGAGCCACTAGGATGACTGACAGACGTTCTCGCCTCACTCTCCCCAGGAGAGGGAGAATGAGACGCAGCGGTGGAAAGGCGTATAGCAGGATCCGGGGACCCCCAAAACCGGAGGTTGCCCTCCACTGAGGGGGGGATGGTCACCAGCCGCCGTTTGTGCCTCTTGGGATCCAAACGCAGGCTGGAGAACCACCTCTGCAGGCGGCGCATATGCAGTAACCCCAGCGGGAGCATCCGCCATAAGACACAAAGTCTGCATGACAGTTAAAGCTGTCACTGTCGCCCCCTGTTGCAGCCTGTGAACCGCCCGGAGAAGGGACGCACTTCTGCTCTCTGACAGGGTGGTGCGTAGCACACCTGCATCAAGCACCACTCCCAACTACAACGCCTGTTGGTGAGGTATGGGGGTGCTCTTTTTTCAATTGATCGTAAAGCCTAATTTGGTTGGTGTGTGATCAATTGTGCTGTGCAAAACATTGCCTGTTCCCGGGACCCAGCCATGACTATGAGGTCGTCTAGTAAAAGAAAACTCTCATGCCGTGGGCGTGCAGCGGTTTAAGCGCTGTGGCCACACATTTGCTAAATGTGCGTGCCTGTTGAACTCGTAGGCTATCCCCTGGAAGGCAAAACGCAGACACTTTCTGTGCTCTGGAGCAATTTCTACATGAAAGTCGATGGTCTATGGTCTTCAGGTCGATGGTGGTGAACCAATCTCCTGGCTGCACAAGCCCCAGTAACTGTTTCATAGTTAACATGCGGAATTTCCTGCAGGAAATGTGGCGATTCAGGCCGCTGAGATCGAGAATAGGTCTGAATTCCCCTGTCTTCCTGAGAACCAGGAAGTACATGGAATAAAGATCATTTTCTCTGTGCTGAGGGTGCACAACAGACACAGTCTGTTTCTGCACCAGAGCCTGAATCTCTGCTGAGAGGAAACACATCTCCTCCTGGGAGGACAGATTTACCTCTTGCATGCCCATAAAAGAGGTGGGTGTGGGACACCCACAAGATAGTGGTCCATGTGATACAGTGGTACAGTGTATAGACATGTGGTACAGTGGGATGCTGCAAAACTGGAGTGAATAGCCCCGTTTCAGCGTCCTGTCCCTCCACCTTGTTAGCACACAGCTGAGTTTCCATTCCCCAGAACATTGTGTTAATGGACAAGCCCTCATCTGTGGGGCCGCAGCTATGAAGCTGTGATACTATCTGGTGACCCGTTCCGCCGCAAAAACTCCCCGCGAAGGGAAGATTTGCCCATGGAGGGTTGACACAGAAAGGACCGATTATTTACTGAGGACCCTGAACGCACCGCCGCGCGCTCTTGTGTGAGTGCGGGCTCCGCCATAATGCAGCCAGACTACGGTAAACTGCATTGGAGTCTTTGCTCTAGGCGTAGTGTGTTCTCTGACAGTAATACGCCGGCCATAATGTCCCTGTACCCGCATAGTGCTCTCCTTTAGATAGCACTCCCTGCGGTTCATCCCTCTCATCTGCGCATGCCCACTAGCCTTTACAGGAGCTACAGCTGGGGCAGCGAATGGGGAATTTGTACGGTTAACATTGTGTGTAAAAACTTTTGAAGCTTCTGAAGCTTTTGGAGGAAGCGTCAGCCAATCAAATCATATGCCAGTACAAGCTCTAGCCAATCAAACCGCTGCTTGTGTGTCAGGGGCGGGAGATTCATGTGATTGGTTGTTGGTCGAGCTTCAGACACGCCCAGCTCCTAGCTTTTTTTGAAGCTGTAGTGTGGACGTAGCCTTGTGGAAACAAAAGACACTTAGATTTGGATACAGATCAACCTCATTCTTATTAGAAAACGTAGTGATCTGTGCATTATACAGGGAGGAGGCGGGATTCGCCCCCTCGTCCCGGGCGGAGAGATTTTCTCCCCCCGCCAGTCAGATCCGTAAAGACGGAAAGCCCGTCCCCGTGAGTGCCGGCACGCCGGTTCCACGGGCTGGGCCGAAGAGGTGAAGGGCACCTCTCCCTTCGTCTCACCTCTCGACTGAGGTCTTTGAACGCACCGTGGCCCGCCCTCGGGGGAGGGGGGCCGCGCGCGCCGTCACAATGACGTCTCTTTGAAACGGACATTATGGGGAAAAGTGGTATTGTGGAGATAGATGACTCTTACTCTGGGATAAATGAAATAGTCTTTACTGAATGCATTTTTCCCACACACACACCTCACTCCAGAACTAGAGTTTACAAACGTAAACCACCGTTCTCCTGCGGGGGTCCCTGAATGCCGCGCGCCCACGTATTAACGCTGTATTTCCCATTGCAACGGTGAAATGCATTAATCGGAGCTATTATACCAGGCAAGGTGTGTTTTCTGACAACAGCACGCCGGCAATAGCGTCTCTTGAACCCGCACAGTGCTTGGACAGCACTCGGTTTATTCCACTCACGTGCACACGCCCACCTGCTGGCTCCCTATACTGGGGTTTACAGCAGGGGCGGGGAGTGTAGGACAGTGTTTCTTCCTCTGGGGATGGGCAAGAATCAGCCACGATGCGACTACTCCTCATCCCGTGCGCAAGGAGATCGATCCAAAGAGCCCTTCCGTAAACACGGGGGCTCCCAGGAGATCAACACGATCTTCTTTGGAAAGTGCCACGCGGTGTGATATCCCAGGGACATCACACGGCGGGCAGCGGCGGCGGCCTGTGATGAAGTAGGGTCGACCCTATATCATGTGAAGCCACCGAGCACCGGTCCCCGGGGGAACCGGGCCTGGGGCAAGGCCCATGGACCAAGCTACTTATTCGGCCTTGCGGCCCAATAATCGCTCTGACCTGGTGAGGCGGGGGCATCTCTAGCAATGAGTGAGTAGCCCACACACCCGCCGCCATGATCATCACCCAGGGAGAGTACAGCCCTGGGCGGTGGACTTCCATGGACGCCAGACCCGGAAGGAATGGCGAACGTGAATGGCACCGCCTCGGCCATATCCTGGTCCCCCAACCACTCGAAGCAAAGGTGGTGGGGATCGGCGCCCGCTATTTCAGCCAGGGCACGAAGACCCGGGTCTCTAGCAGTGGCGACTCCCTGGAGGTATGATAACTCTTTCTTCTTCTTTCAAACGTCTCAGTCTCTCGTGGAATCACTTCCGCTGCTGAAGAGAAAAGGATGATAGTCAGGAGGCGAGGCCTCCTTTTATACGGTGTGATGCGCGCGCATTCAGGTAGGCCCGCCCAAGGCCAGCTAGGTCTATAGAAGTCTCAGTGGGAGAATGCTCGCAGGGTAAGGTAGTACCCCTAGAGTCCAGTAGAGGGCGGAGCCTGTGAGAGATATAACCAACTGTTACAGCAAGCAGTTTGGTAGATTGTGTTCCCTGACTGTGTATGTCTTTGCAAAGTGTTCTGTTCTCATGCTGTCAGCATTATAAAGGTTATAAATCTCTCTTTATCTTTTATTCTATATAGCAGCCTCCTAGGAGCTCAAAAAGATATTTCGGTTGTGGGCTGCGGAGACCAAAACTCGTACATGTTACCATTTACCTGAAAGCATATGGCATTACAATGTTTGATCGTGTAAACTGTCAGTGTCAGTTTTGACTTGCTTGTGTTTCCTAAAGTGTCAGCATGTTGGTCTTCTGTATGGCTGTAACTAGACAACCATTAAATCTATAAACTCTTCAGCAGTCATCTCTCTCTGTCTCCGATTCTCTACTCACGCTTTTTTACTTTCCATCCTCACTCTGTCTTCTTACTGTCTTCCAGCCATCCTGGGTATGCACACCCTGATGAGTAACCAGCAGTACTATGAAGCCCTGGCCAGCAGCAACATAGTCAACAAGCAAGGCCTCAACAGTACGTAAAAACACACACTCTCCCACGTATGTACTTACACTTTTTAGTCAGATTTGACTGAGTCTTTTGAATGTTTAAAACTGAAAGTTGCATGAGCAGTCTTCACTTGGTTCGATTCTAAGTGCATTTGGTGCACAACATGAGTAAAAGTGTCCTAAAATAAAGATAATCACTCAACTATTTGGAAGAGAGAAATCACCTCATTCAAGAAAATTGCAAAGTGCAATGATCTCATGCTGGCAGAAAGTTTATTTAACCTAAGATGATCAGCACTGACTTTTTTTGTTGCACTCCACGCATGTTAACATTTAGATACACAGCCTAAACTAGAAGTAAGGTGTTCAATAGATATAAAAGTGTCTACAGACACATTGTTCTATAGCTCCTCCAGGAATAACTGATGATTCATCTGTTTACCCTTAATCTAGCACTGGTAGTGTAAACTCTCTAATATGACACACACACAGACACACACATTACATGTTAATGAGCCTGTGTTTATATTGCATGGCGGCTCATCCTATAGCTTCTGCTCCAGCTCTAAACAGAGACAGAGGCCGAGCACCTCACTTCCAAATATGACCGGCTCTGATAAAAGAGCCAGCTGCGAAATCGGATTCGCCTGCAGAATTCCGCGCTTGCCAAAACACAGGAAGTAAAAAATGATTTTTGAACAATGAGTCGTTATTATGTTATAGTTTGAGACTTTTATAACATGAAAACAGTTGTATTTCAAAAATATGTTTGCCCTTTGTGATACTACACTAAGGGAATGCTGTAAATGTGCTTGTTAAGTAAATGGAATTTAGTATCCCAATATTGTTATTATCAACCTACTTTTCTTACTGTAGACTTACAGAAATGACATACCGACTGAAACATTGTACCACGCCAATTACTTACTAAAATAACTTTATTTACTCATTGTAGATGAAATAAAACACAATTCCAATGCACCAGAAAGAAAAACAATAATTTTGATAGAAGTCACTGGCAGTCACTGTTCTCTGCTCCTGTGGTAGTAAAGGTTTGAATGTACTACTGCTGTGGCAAAGTGGCTGTTGACATGTCTGTGCTGTGAAAACCATTGGCCTGAAAGTGGGATAAAACTGATAAATCTATGCATGCTGTGTTTTAAATGATCAGCATTAGCCTGAGTACAGTTAAACAGGGTCTCTCTGGACATGGCAGGCTAATGTGCTTTGTTTGGCCATTGCTGTAAGGAGATGATAAGTTACCAACATCAGATAAAGCTTCTAACATTGTTCGGTGAAGTCTGGCAGTCTTTAACTCTTTATGAGTGAAGTGTAGAAAGGGCGTCAAACATGTTTAAATATGCGTTGTTCCCACAGTCAGACTGGTTTGATCCACAGCTGTGTGTCCTGTGTTGTAGGTGTGATCCAGTGCGCACAGTATAAAGCAGTCCCAGATGAAGAGCCCAACTCCACTGACGTAGAAGAGACCCTGTTGAGGATGAAGAGGAACGACCCCGACCTGGTGGAGGTGAACCTCAACAACATCAAGGTGTGTCTGTGGGAAAACAACTGGGTCTGATTTCTTTATTGATTTTGGAGTTCGAGCTTCTACTTGAACCATCATTCCTTAAAGATGAAAAATCTTACGAAATATATTTGTCTCTCTTATTTAAAGTTATCTGTCCCTGACCATTTTTTTTAGATTTTCTAGTACTTTCTTCTACATAAAACTAAACTCTGTTACACAAAAGATTTGTATCATGCTCCAAAAGCACAAACAAACTAAACATTGGTGCCCAACATTCATTTTCAATTTCCAGCTATAAAAAAGGTACTTTTTAAGTAAAACACTTAATATTGAGTGTAACATATAGCATTTACTGATCTGTAATGTTTATCTGTACCCAGAATATCCCCATCAAGACTCTGAAGGCGTACGCTGATGCTCTGATAGAGAACTCTGTGGTGGAGAGGTTTAGTATTGTGGGAACCAGGAGCAACGACCCTGTAGCATTTGTAAGTCACAACTGTGACATTTTACACAAAATGCTAACCAGAATGCCTTTAACCTGTTTCTTTATAATAACTCCTTCTGCATGTCATCCCTCTGCCTCTTTTCTCTTGTTTCTTTTACTATTTAATTAGACATTTGCTTAAAACAGACTTTAGGTTATGGTTATGAGGTTGAAAAAAAATGTTGCATAGAAATGAATAAAGTCATGTACTGTGTGCTGTGTGTGTGTCCTTAGGCCCTGGCAGAGATGTTGAAGGTGAACACGACGCTGAAGAGCCTGAATGTGGAGTCTAACTTCATCACAGGGACCGGCATAGTGTCCCTCATAGAATCACTGCAGAACAACACCACACTACAGGAGCTCAAGATAGACAACCAGGTACCAACACACACACACACACACACACACACACACACACACACACACACACACACACTTAAATACACACGCAAAACCCACTTGCATATATAGATGTCGATTTATACAAACGTATAATGCACACAACTGAGATGATATGTGTGTATTAAGTAGTGTATACAGGCCATATATCGCCCTCCAGTATAATGCACCCAGATTATATTGTCATGATATACTGCATAGTTCAACATTACTCATTAGTTCATTATCCGTGTTGCTTTTGCCACTTTTTCTCCTTGGCGTTGAGATAACAGCAGTTATTTTATTTATTGAAGTCTATTCACAGTACCTTTTTTGTCCAGTTTTAATGCTCCAGCTTTCCCCCTCTGTTTACAAACTCCAGAGCCAGCCGCTAGGCAACAAGGTGGAGATGGAGATAGCCCGCATGCTGGAGAAAAACACCACGCTGTTGAAGTTTGGATATCATTTCACCCAGCAGGGTCCGCGCCTCCGAGGCTCCAACGCCATGATGAACAACAACGACCTGGGTGGGTTACACACACACACACACACACACACACACACACACACACACACACACACACACACACACACACACACACACACACACACACACACACACACACACACACACACACACACACACACACACACACACACACACACACACACACACACACACACACACACAAATAGAATTGGGACTGTGACGATGGTTCCTAAACTTGCCTTGAGCTGATAGTATTTTCAAAACATCTTGTGTTATGATAGATTTCCCTAAAATTGCTTTAAAGGGATGGTTTTGACTTTTTTAAATGAGATTGTATAGGTACTTATCGTTAGTCAATATGTTATTAACACTAGATTCCGCTCAGCAATCCCCAGGTTTTGAGAAACAGACAGAAGTACCAGCACAGACGCTAAACAATGTATTGCTTTGGACGGGGGCATCAGAAAACAATTGTATTAGCCTAACAAAAAGGACTACCTAAAAAAATCAACATCATTTTAAATGTAGACTATGTTTAGAATATTTATTCCGCTATATGCTATATAAGTATAAGTATGCTAGTGCAGAAGGTTGTTGCGTGCGTCAATGCTGACACTTTATCTCCACTATATCTCTTTGGGTTTTACTTGAATCAGACTGTAATGCAAGTATCAGTGATATCATCGGCCGGTAACTCAGTAGTAAAGCCAAAACGCACCAGCCAATCAAAACAGTGGCTTTTTAAGTTATGACATCAGCACTAAGAAAAGAGTCAGTGCATGAGAGAGAAAACAAAATGAGGCTGGGAGAAGAAACGCACATGCACAAGTTATTACGGTAATTCATTTACTTGTTTTTGCACTAAAGAGGTGAGTTTAACTCCTTATAAGTTTCACTAAATGAAGATAAAACAGGATTGATGTTAAGCTTGTAATTATGATTGGGATTTTATTCATGGGCTTATTTTTGGATGGTTTTGAAGTGTGGTCGTACTCTATCACTAAGCACTTGTAGTTAAGTGTATGTGTCATAATCTTGTTTTCCTTCCCCACGTCATCTTTAAGCTCGGGTTGTCAGGTCGGAGGCTGACGGCTCCTTCACCCTCACCTTGTCCGTTCCTGAGCTGGAGATGGCCTTCGGGAAAAAGTTCAAGTCCAAGACTAAGTAAAAAAGAGAAAGAAGCACATGTGACCGCTCAGCCTTGCCTTTCTTCTGCCAACATCACCTGGATCTTTTCCAGACCACTGGAAACCTCTGCCACCAGCTGTCAAACTGCTCTGACAGTTTCTGTTGCTCCTCTGCCACCACCTGTCATCACTTGCTTCTTTTTTTCATATTCTTGTCTTCTCTGGTTGACTGTCTCCCAGATTTAGCTGATGTTGCTCTCTGGTCCCTACAATAGTCTGAATAATAACACATATGTGGCGGTCCACATACAGGGACATAAGACCTCCAGAATATATTTTTTAAATCCTTTGATTAACAGAAATAAGGAGTGAAACGTTGACATGACTTTGAAATAACTCAAGGCTAAAATAAACCATGCTTTTTTAATCCAGAACAATAAACAGCAGATAATATACACTTTCCAAAATAGACAACCAAAATGCAAAGGAGCAGGCCTTGAACTCTGCTTCTATCGTTTGTTTGGATCCAAGCAACCTCTCCTGCCTTTGAATCTGATTGGACGGGATGAAACTCTCCCCCTTTTCACCTGCTCAAGTACTCCATCTTCTTTTGGCTGCACTGTGAACCTGCATACACCTTCGTGATCTGTGGTTTCTCCCAGCACTAGATCGATGCATCTTTTCTTGGTCCACTTTATTTCTGTTTTTCTTGGCTTTTTTTCTCCTATGATCATTATATTCTCCCGACCTTCTGTTTTTGCTGTTCTTGCGTTGCTTGGAGGGTTTTTGGCCGCCTCAGCTCAACCTGTGTCCTCTCCTTTACTCTTTCAAATACTGCTCTTTTCCAAAGGTGGATTGTTCATTCGAAACAGTTGCCCTGCATCCCCAATTTGTTTGTGATCATTTTAATAAATTGCAGATTTGTTTGTTAAAACTTCACGCACCACTAAAGTACAGTATAAACTGAAAGGGTAGAGGCCTCTAAAGGCAAATGCGATGATTTACACACAAAACTATGTGAAGACATTTCAATTCATATAGTCATTACTTGGCGCAAGTTGCTGATTGATCACAAATTCATTAATGATTATTAATATTACAAACTAGGGGTCAAGCGGGGTGCTTACGCTATTTTGGGGCAGAAGTGGATCCATTCCTGCTCTCATTCGAGTTTAACCTTTGACTGCTGTTATTTCTTCCTTCAGGAGCTCCTGCTAGAGCCCTTTGCAGCCACTTGAATAAATGGTGTTGCAACTCTAATCTTTCTTTCCTTTTCTGATAGCTTCTTTCTGTTGCCTCTCTTTGCTTACTCATGTAAAGCACCAAAAGGGCCAACTTTGCTCTGCTGTCTACGATGCGTATGCTGATGAATCACAGTCCTGCGTCTGTTTTTCTAATGGTTTTCTTTGTCCCTATTTACCTCCCTCTCTTCTTCCCTCTCATCCTTTCACCTCTGTTTTTCTTCTTCTGTCATTCTTCTGTTTTATCTAATCTTCTCTATTTACAGTAAGAAAGAGAAGGCTTGAGGGAGGTCCCATTTTCCCCAAGTGTCGGACAAATATATAGAAACCAGGGCGCCCATCAACCCTCCGTTCCCCTTCGACCCGGACCATCCTCTAAACACCTTCCTGTAACCCTCTCCGGCCTGACACCCTCCGGTGGCAGAAAACAACAACCATCACGTCACCATGTTGTCTCTGAACTCTTTTTTCCAGAAATGTTTTGGTAGATATTAAAGGATATTATGGGATTAATCAGCAGTGTCACTCAAAGCTTTCAGGGCATGCAAAAGGTGAAATTCTGTGCCTATTTTTGCACTCTGATGTTTGATTTGTTACAGGCGTGGACATTTGCTGTAGCTGTTTGGATAAACTCATGAATCCTTTAATATCCCTTTAAGTGTCTAGATCCTTAAAAAAGGGGGCTGGAGGCCTGGTTTTGAACAGGGGCACATTGAAATGGGACAGGAGACTTTTTTTGAAATCGCTGTTACCATTGATGAGTTGAATTAATTTGAATTATTATGCTGTAAATGAGTTGTGCTGCCATTACTGTTGTTCCCTAAAGTGTCTGATGTTGTTTCGAGATCGACATACAAGATATTTTCTACCAATTATTCACAAAAGCCAATGTCCCATTTGAATTTGATAGACCTTAACATTGTCTTGGTGACTCAGTGCTCAGAGGCTATACAGATCCTTCAGTAATGGACAGTAGATTTATAAACCTGGTTACTGTGAGATTTGTCGCTATATAGAGAATATATTTATTTGTGACGGACCTGGGAAAGAGTCAGAAGCCATTCAAATACATTTTGCTGGATAGTGTAACGTCTTGTCTAAAAAGGTTTCTGTAAATGAAACTCTAATGACACTTTACATTGTTAAATTATCCAGCAATATACAAGCAATCTCTGCAGAGCATTCTGCCAGCTGGGATTAGAAACTGAGTTATTTACTGACAATAGATATTCTATGAACCCACTGTAAAAAAACAACAACCTACGAACACTGTGTTGTTTTATTGAATTGACTGTACTGTTAATTATATACGATAATCTAAAAGAACCCAAACTGAGTATTTGATTGGACTTCTGTTACACTTTCTACCAAGTCTAGTTTGTTGATTGTTTGTGTTTTTATTTTTATTTACTGGAGCTAAATCATGCAGTTTATTACAAAATGGTTGGTAATGTTGACTTACTGTTGATTAAAGGTTTCATATTAAAGCCTCAATCCAGGTTTCAATAACAGACAGTAGACGCCGATTAAAAACACAGAAAACCTCTAATGTCATCACAGCTGTCAGATTACCTAAATCCATCAAAGTTATTCAAAATAAAAATACTTAAAATGCTTGTTATCTTTGTGATGAGCTAACAACCTAACGTCTGAAATATGGTATAACACTTTGATACTGGATGGATCCTTTAATGGTTCACAATGATGATTTACGGTTCCAACTCCGACTACACATCCACATGCTGGTAATGATGAACTCTGCTGTGTATTTTGCAACACTTTAAACATTAACAGCATAATGAGAAAAAGGAGGTGTTAGCTGCTATGTAACCAGGAACTTGAGCTAATATGTTGCTGTCTGAAAATAAATTTGCTCCAGTAAAAATCCTTGGAAAACTGTCTGTTACATTGTAATGTCTCAAGGTGAAACAGGTCTGTATTTTTTGGCTTAAAGAAAATGGGTCCCCTATTATACTATTTTTCAACAATATAATATAGGTCTCAGATATATACAAAACATGTCTCTGAAGTGTTTGGCTCGAAATGCCAAACAGGTCATGCATTGTAGCATCCCATAATCCCCTCTGTTTCAGCCCTGTTTCAAAAGTGCTGATTCTGTGTCTGTAGCTTTAAATGCTAATGAGCTGCTGCTGCTGCTGGCCACGCCCCTCTGCTAGATTATTGGTTTAAAAACACAATGGAGATTCAAGTGATAAGGTGGGCGGGTTTTACCTTGGTGTGTTATTGGTTAATGGTTGCACAACCCAACAAAACATTGTGACATCACAAAGTGGCCTAAATCTGATCAGCTCATTTGTAGACTGGTTTTTATATAAATTGATCAGGACAAAAAGTGAGCGAATCTTTTTTCCTGAAACTTTCAGAATCTCTTTACACAGAGGGGACACATGTTTACGTATAAAAGACACGACAAAGGGGATGTTGCATAATAGGTGACCTTTAATGTTGCAGAATCAAGGAAAAATCTTAGCTGACCGTACCATCCAGTTTCCTTGATGTCAACAACTGTACCTGATATTGACAGCCTTTTTGAGGGTCAGATAACCCTTTTAATGTTATTTAATGTCACCGCTTTGTTACTCTTGTCAGTGCTGTGGGTGATGTTCAACAAATGGAAATTATAGATGTAAACATTTGTCCAACAGGTACAACTGAATGCTAAAGGCAAAAGAGGACGTGGACTTGTGCTACTCTTCAAAAGTCCAGTGTCTTCTGATATTTTAGTGCTTGACTCTGTGTTACATTAGATAGTTCATATTTTTTGGTTGAATGTTGTTTAATAAATAAATAAAGCTTGAAAATATTTCGTTTTCTTGAACTGCCAAAGCATTTGTGTGGACATGTGCAGTGCTGTGCTATTGACAACAGTGATACTCACTGGATAAATGGAATAAATACACCAGGTCAGTTCAGTTGGGCTGCCGTCTCTCCCTATGCTGCCCTCTTCAGACAAACATTAGTGTTACACTTCTGTTAACTGCACAAAGGCAGTGGTCAAATATTCTGAATGTTGATCCATTGAAAATAAGTTGTATCAACATACACCAAGTTGTTGCTTGACAGCCAAAATAAAACTGAAAGATCTTGTGACTATTTCATTGAAATACTGACATTTTTGTTCATGGTATTTGTGATATTGGGCTATATAAATAAAATGTGATTGAATTTGAGGATTCTGGGTACTATTACAGCTCTTATGATATTTCTTTCAGACCATACAATGTATTATTGTGTTACATTTTTAGAACATAGTTTAGTATGAATGTTACGAGCATTTTTTACCAAACGTAGTGGTGTAGAACAATCAGTATTTATAATGTTATACTGTACTCTGACTCTGACTGATACTTTTACTTTGAATGGTCATTCTATGACATGTTATACTAGGAACCTTATGTGTCATACTATGACCATTTAAGGTATTTTTCTGACATACTATACTCTGACTTTTTAAAGTTTGACTCATTTCTGAGTCTTTCATGACATAATGACGTTCTTAATAAATGTCTATGACACTATATGCATAGCCTTTTGAATTACTCTTTTTATGATTAACTATACCATGGCCTTTTTAATGACATTTTTACTACATCATATACTGTTGCTTTTTCCAAGACTCAATATTCTATAACTTTTTTTATTTCATACTATATTGTGACCCTTTTGATCAAATAATTGTCATCATCATCATCATACCTAGGACCTTTACTCTCTTTGATATTTCATTTAAATATTTATGAAATACTATACTAGCACTTTTTTAAAATTACATACTATACTGGGATTTATTTGTATACATAATGCTGTGACAAAAAGTTTTCCCTAATTGGGAATAATAAAGTAAAAATAGTCTAATCTTAAATAGAAGATGCCACATTTGAATGTCTGTGAACAAGGTTTTACGTTTTTATTGAATCTCAGGCAGAAACATACATGATAATCCTTTATTGCTCAATGGCATTCCACATCGCACTCAGCGGCCTGTTCTTACATTCAACCCAACAATAAGTTAAACTGAATCAAGCATCACTTCCCGTCTGGTTTTTACTGTGTAACTAAATAGCATAGTAATATAATATAGTAGCCAAACTTGCTGTGTGTATTGAGGGAGGGTCTCTTTCTCGCAAATCTCCACATGATGCAAAATCCAGTCCACTTTCAAGTTTATACTGCTTATTATGAATACATATTTCTTCTTACTTATACAGATTCATTCACTATTCTCTCCCTAGTAGTATATCCTGATAGTAGTATTATATATATATATATATATATATATATAAGTTCTGGGTTTATGGCTGAAAGCTTAAGGTTTTGGCTATTGTATGAATGGCTACACTGTCATTCTTCATTGAGACAATGAGACATAAAAAAAAAGAAACCCTGCAAACCTGTAAAGGAAATTTCCTGAATGCATACATATCGTTTTTTTTAAATTACTAATATTGTTAACGATTATATTGACATGAAAGTGAAAACACACTCAAACTTAGGAGTTATTGCCTTAATATTTTTTGCATGACAAAGAAGAGGATAAAAGGAGAGGGTGAGTTTTTACATATTCACACAACAAACATGTCCAGACAAATGGCATGCAAGACATAAAAAGGAGACGCACTGAACAAGGGGAATAGAAACAGTTTTAAACACTACACTACATGAATGGTATTACACTTATGTGTAGGGCAGATAGACAGGTCTGACATAGAATGTGTAACACTGTGTGCAAAAAGTTTTACATAAGTTTCAGACATGGTCGAACACAAAACAGTAGCTTTAGGAGCACACAACATAAGTCTTTACATTTCCTTTTTAAAATATGGCTTATCAAGTTATCACATCTTTTTTTATTCTAGAGACAGACACACAGTTAGTATAATAATTTAATATCATATTTTATGATTGTTTGCCCACCATTAGGCTTGTATTGTATTCATTTACTTATGTACAAATCGAGTGAACAGCGTGGTGGACAAGGTTATTTTTCAGTGCTGCGCGAGAGCTCTGCAGAGTAGAGTCAAAGGAATTTTAGATGTCTCAAACTAGAAGAATAAACCATCTAACGTTGTGTTTTTTTAGCCCCCCTGTTTGAAGTTAGCTTAAATAGTGTAACATAGCTAACATGACTCAAGCTAACTTTCACCTGGCTGTTTAAAGGCTAATATTCACACTGTTGGTTGACATCTGATTAATTTCCCCACCGTAAAACTTCTCCAAAAACCATAAACCACATCGAAATGAAACTTTATTTTATGGACTTTCGTAGAAATGTTCACATCTTTTCTTTGTGTGGGAAAATGTTTGATTCAAGCCAACAGTGTGAGTTTAACCTTTGAATTAAGCTAGAAAAACGTTAGCATAAGCTAGCAAGCTAGCCTACTTCTTCAGCATGTCTTGCAGTGGGCCTGGCAGGTATTTCATCACTGTGTCCATGATACTCTCCTCTTCCTCCTCGTCACCACACCCGGCCGGCACCAGCTTCTTGGGTCGAGTCAAGCTGCCCTCTGCAGGCTCCTCTGCAGCAGCTGCTGCCTCGGCCTCGGCCTCCTCGCGCTTTTTCAAGCCATACTGTTGTACAAACACAGAAATAGAAATATGTGGAAGAGTAAAGGAAATGCAGGCCAGGAAAAATAACATAAATACAGGACTCTGCATAAATATAAAACAACATCAATTTAATTTGGATTTAATTTAAAAGAAATTATGATCTTTGGGCGGCGTGTTTTGCTTGAAAAACCAGGCACTTCTGAATTTTGTGGCACCAGGTCTTCCAGGAGTGAAACACCTCGGGTGATGAAGTGTAACTTTTATAGTAACTCCAATCCAACATGAATGTGACAAAATGCACACAAACTGCTACTTATCCATTTGATCAGACATTTAGATTAACCCAATCCCATGGCGCCTTTTACAAGTTCTCGTGTTTTTAGCAGCTGTTAACCCTTCTTCTTTCTCTTGTTCTTTAAAGTGTTTCTCCTTCAGCAAAGCTTAAGATCACGTCAGAATCATGCTGCTTTTCAATGTTCACACTGAGAAGTATTTCTTTTAAAGGCATAAATCAAAAATCAGGACAAAACACACCGTAACTGCTAATGGCATTTAGTTCCCCCACAACTGCAGGAAACAGCTTTACATATGACACTTATATGTGTCATACGCTGCTCTATATATAGTCGGAAATTGTGTATACTTCAGCTATTATACATTTCTCGCAGCATCTTACACAGCAGGATAAAGCTCTGGAGAGCGCTGACAGAAATCCTTTCGGAAACGAGCACTATGGGAGTTGTTCCTCGCTATTTGTTCTCCTCCAGGATAACTTAAGAAGAATGAAGGAGATGAGGAGCCTGGGGAGGAGTGAGGCTTTTTTATCCCAATGATTCACAGTATTCCCCTCAGAGCTGCCCCACCCACACACTGCCTGTCGTTCACACTGCTTCTGCAGTGTGGTGCTAACACTGCAGCCATCCCTGCACACCCCCAGCCTCACCGTTGTGGAGAGGAAAACTTACAGCAACACTATCTGAGTATGACCTTACTCCAACTGTAGGCAATTAAGTATGCATCATACTAACAATGGCTGCCTGGATATTGCTTTTTAGAAAGAAAACTATTTCAAAATATAGGCTACAACATTTATAAATTATAAACCTGAAACCATTTTATTATTACAGTTCACTGGAACCCTTCATTGAAAAATGCAGGACAGCAGTTTGTAAAACAGACCCATTTCTGTCTAAGAATTATAATTTATTCTTATGAATCATAGCGCCTCATAATGAGTAAATGTATTGCTTTCTACTCTCTTTATCGTGTACAGCTCCCTCCTGATCCTCCTGTGATCTATTTTTAAATTACATAAAAGCAAACAGAAATAGTCCGATGGTAGTCCGTGTCAAATGCAAGTCTGTTATAAAAAGGGTTTGGCTGTCATGCAGCCAAGATGAGAAGCCTTTTAGAAGCTACTTAAACATGAAAAGACAGGATGTGATCCAAAATTATCAAAACTTCTTACATGGATGTGAGAAAAGTCATTTGTGCTTGTCAGTTTTCTTCCTCTCCAATTTTGCATTGACCTTTCTGTTAAAAAGCACGTCTTTCTTTGAATATGTTGCTGCATTCCTGATTAAAACACAGTGACTGACTCCGTTCCTTGTGTTGGTTTAATGTTAACTTATTTTACATTACGATTTTAGATACCATGTAATCGTGAATATACCTTATCTCTGATGCCTTGCCTCATGCCTTCCCTCTCAGCCTCCATCTTGGCATATTTGCCCTTCCTCTCATCCTCCTGCTGCCTCAGCGCCTCCTGTCTCTCCTCCTCCTTGCTGGCTGCGTCGGGGTCCTCCTCCTTCTCCTCCCCACCCAGCATTTTGCCCACATCAGGGGGACCTCCTGTTAGAGAGAGAAAGAAATAAAAGAAATAAATAGGACACAACGGCAGCTCCTCTAGGACAGAGATGTCAAAATATCAAATGAGTCTGTGAGACGTTGCAGAGAATATGGACACAAGATAAGCGGGCACTTATGGGACTTACAGAAAGAGAGATGCATTTACAACGTTTTGCTTAAGCCATTTACAGCATTGAAACTGTTCTTATATTGTGCCAATATCTCATGGTGTTTGTTGCTTTTTAAAGCCTCATCACATTTCACATTTATATTTCAATAAGTTAAAATGTGTTTTTGTTCAATTCATTTCCATACATCTAAATCCTTTCTCAAAGACCACTCCACAATACTCTTTATATAATTATAATGGAAAAATAATCCCTTTATTTAAAGAAACACGCATAGGGTGAAAAAATGATATTGAAATCAATTGTTGTTACTTTTTATATGAACTAATTATTTCATTATTAACCTCCCCCCACACATTTATAGAAAGACACGACCTTGAGTTCCTCATTGGCATCTATAGCCCTGGTGGTTTGGAGGTCAAGAGATGTGAGAGAGTAACAACACAAATGGGACTATTTGCTGATTACACAACAGGGCACGAGCCTGGAATATGTCTTACGCAAGCCGTTTTACTGTCCCTGTAGAAGTCGTACATCCCATGAAATAACGCCTTGTGATACA